AAGAGCGGCGGGCAAGGGGCCGCAGGGCAGCTCCGTCGGGCAGGCAGCAGATCCATGCCCAGCCGTCCCGAGCAGTGTCGGGCATCCCGGCCCCTCTACCCATCAAGTCCCGGCCCCGCCGCTCTCCCCCTCCTCGCAGGCGCGGATTCTTCGTGCCAGAGCCCACGGGAAAAAGTGAAAAAGAAAATAAAACAATAAACATTGACAAGCAGCGTGACTTCTTGCAGCCGAGTCATTAACATCGACCAATCACCGGCAGCTCCATTACAGAGAGATTTGCCTAATTAAATTGAGGAATTTATCGGTGTGAGGCTGGATGGAGACAACTGTCCTGACGACAGATGGGGATGTCTGAGCACCGCGGGGAATAGCAGCGTGGGGTGCCCGGCTCTTCCCTCCCCGCCAGCTCCCCTTCGACGGGCCCCGTCGGGAAGGGAGAAGCCCCCGCGGACTATCCCTGCCTTTCCTTCTCTTTTGTTTCACGTTTCCTGACTCAGACGCCTTACTCGCTTCGCTAAGGCAGCAGCATCTAGGTATTATTTCAAAGCGGTCTCCTCTATTGCCCAACTTTCTGCCCTTCCAGGGTCAGCATCCATAATGCGGCAGGAATTATTTCGGAATAAGAAAGAACCTTGTTGCAAACACTCCCCAGCCCTTTTTCTGACACCCTTTGTTATGCATGCTCTTGCTGCTGGAGAAAATGCTAGTATGTGCACCTGCAAAAAAAAACGCCTTCATGATGTTAACAGCAAGCTGGAGGGTATAAAGCAATAAAACTGCCAAATGTACCTGTTCCTATTGAGTACATTACCTACACCTATGAATAAAGACTCTCAGTAGGAATTCCTTCCCTTCTCTTCCCCTTTCTCTATATTTTTATTCATTGTAGATTTGTACACGCCTGGATCGGGTTACCCTTTCGCGTGTTAAAGTGGAACTCTTGTAAAAGCAGGAGAACAAGGCAAGACACTTACAACTGCATTCAGAGTTACTGAACTGGCTCCAAGGGCTCAAGACGTGAAACAACGATGAGAGGGTGGGTAAGGGGGCATAAAACATCCTAGACGCTCAGGAAGAAAGATCTCCCTCACGCCCCCCTTAAATAAGTCAGCTGAACTTTAAGCGCCGAGACACTGTGGGTTATGTTCTGCCACCGATCGAGCATCGCTTCGTATCCCATTCCCCCCCCACTCCCATGGGCAGTGCGGTATTCAAACAGGGGGCTCGTACCCCCCGGCTTCCCTGAGCTAATGATCGGGCTGTGGAAAAGCAAGCCCCAAAATAAATTAAGGAAAGTGGAATAAAAAAAAAAAAAAAAAAAAAAAAAAGAAAAAAAAAACAAAAAACGCGGGGTGAAAAATAAAGCCCCTCTAAATAACTCCAAAAGCGACGCGTTAAGAAAAAAAAGCAACCACCAAAAAAACCCCCAAAACAAATAAAAAAATAAAAGCCCAACAAACTGCAAAATCTAGAAACCAGTCCCCAGGCTGCGAGAGGCAGTGTCAGGACCTGCGCGGGATCTGGGGATGTCTCTGGGCTGTGCGGGGTTTTGCGAGCGGCGGCAGCTGGTGCCGGTGTTGGTTTTCAAAGCCCGGAGCCTTCAGCCCGTTTCCCCATCTAGAGTAACTTTCGGATTTCCCTAGGCTTAGCGAGTTTCTTCCTACCTCAGTCTTCTGCGGTGGGGTCTGCCTCTGGAGTTCATGCTTAGCTGGACGCGAGGCGATTTAAGCGAGGGAAAGGGGGGAAAAAAGAGAGAGAGTGAGAGAGAGAGGGGAGAGAGAGGAGAGGGGAGAGAAAGAAATCTTCCGCCGTGCCGGATCAAACTTAATGTCTTTCCCCAGAAAAAAAGCCCCAAAAAAAAAAAAGAAAAGTGAAAAAAAAAAAAAAAAAAAAAAAAAGAAAAGAAAAACAAAACAAAAAACGCGGAGTGAAAAATAAAGCCCCTCTAAATAACTCCAAAAGCGACGCGTTAAGAAAAAAAGAGCAACCACCAAAAAAAACCCCAAAACAAATAAAAAAATAAAAGCCCAACAAACTGCAAAATCTAGAAACCAGTCCCCAGGCTGCGAGAGGCAGTGTCAGGACCTGCGCGGGATCTGGGGATGTCTCTGGGCTGTGCGGGGTTTTGCGAGCGGCGGCAGCTGGTGCCGGTGTTGGTTTTCAAAGCCCGGAGCCTTCAGCCCGTTTCCCCATCTAGAGTAACTTTCGGATTTCCCTAGGCTTAGCGAGTTTCTTCCTACCTCAGTCTTCTGCGGTGGGGTCTGCCTCTGGAGTTCATGCTTAGCTGGACGCGAGGCGATTTAAGCGAGGGAAAGGGGGGAAAAAAGAGAGAGAGTGAGAGAGAGAGGGGAGAGAGAGGAGAGGGGAGAGAAAGAAATCTTCCGCCGTGCCGGATCAAACTTAATGTCTTTCCCCAGTCCATCTTTGAAAGAGAAGTGGTAATACCACCTGGATGTTCGGATATAAATCCCCTTGCAAATAATAAATGGATTAATAATAACAAGGTATGAAGTTCTTTTTATAGAAAAAAAGGAGAGAATTGAAACTAAATGCGGCAGTTAGACAACCATTTTGATAAGAGGATAATTGAGGCGACACTGGTGTATAATTAGAGGATAATTTATGCTATATCCACTTTTATTCCACCTCCCAAAATAAACCCAGTCCATAATCATTACAGGCAAATTGTTCTGAATTTTATAGCAGCAATTTGAACAAAGTACTGCAGTTAATCATGGGAGATTTTTGTGTATTCCTGATTAGAAGTCTAATTGCCTCCTTCCAGAAAGTAAAAATAACTGTAAAACGACTCTATTTTTATCATTAACAATGTTGACAATAAAATAAAATCAACTGGAATTGTAATCTAAAGACAAATTTAGGGCGCAGGCACTTTTATTTTTTTTTTTTTCCTTGGGTCGTTTATATCCTAATCAAGCTTTTGCCAAAACCGCCAACCGCACGTAGCCATTTGCATATATTTGAAAGCGATTACGGGAGCTGCTGCTGCTGCTGCTTTCAGCGGGGGAAAAAAAACCCATAAATGTGCTGCGCGTCTCTTCGCCGCAGCGAAAATACCGCGCAAAGGCGGGGGGGGGAGGAATG